CCATTGTGTGCCCCACTGTCCTGTGCCCACCGTGGCCCCACCCGCCCTCCATGTGCCTGACACTGTCCTTGCAGAAGCGGGCAGCTCGACGTCCGGGAGCTGATCTCCTTGCACCCCTTCCTGCTGCCCACGTCCTCCTCCTTCACCCGCTGTCACCCTCCACTGCACGAGTATGCTGACCTGAACCAGCTGACACAGGGCGATCAGGAGAAGATGGCCAAGTGTAAGCGCTTCCTCATGAGTTACCTGAACGAGGTCCGCAGCACCGAGGTCGCCAATGGCTACAAGGAGGACATCGACACGGCCCTGCTCAAGCTGTATGCAGAGGCCGACCACGACAGCCTGCTGGACCTCCTGGTGACCGAGAACTTCTGCCTCCTGACGGACAGCGCGGCCTGGCTGGAGAAGCACAGAAAGTGAGTGTCATCCCTCCCACCCCTCTGGGGACACTGATGGGAGGCTTCCTCAGCCAGCGGGGCTGCATGGTTACCGCCATGGAATCCCAGTGGCACCTCGCTGTCACAGTCTCTGCATGGCCATTCTTCACGATGTGGCATAGCTGAGGGCGCTCTTCCTAAGTGGAGACCTTCTAGGTGTCCCCGTGCCTGGCGGAGGACGTGCCTGTGGGCAGCGTCCAGCATTTTGGGGAGCACACCGAGGCCCCTAAGGAGGGGCGAGGTCGTTGTCCCAGTGGCTGAGAGGGAGGCCTCAGTGAGTCCAAGTCACATGAGACTAACATCGGTGCTGAGTGCCTGTGGCTGGTGTGGCCCAATCAGTGGTGCTCTCCCTGGGCAGGTTGTTATGGGGCCTGCTTTCTAGGCCTTGGGGCTCTTAAAAAACAAGGGCTGTCAGGTGAGCCCTCGGTCCATGTAAAAAAAGATTTTCCGCATATGATTTTTATTAAGAGTTTGATATGGCAGTAACACTGATAGAATCCCTGGAGGCTCTGGGTCACAGTGCCTGGACTTCCTCGGCCTCTGCCGCTTTCCGTCAGCTACTTGAATGTGCTCCAGGGTGGTGTCACGGGGTGCATCCCCACCTAGGACTGTGGGACTGGAGGTGCTTCACAGGCGTGTTTCAGAGCTGAAGCTTGTCTTAGTTCTCTCGTTGCTGAGACAAAATCCCCAACATCCAGGAAGAGGATGAAAAGCTTAGCTCATAGTTCCTAGAGGTTTCAGTCCATAGCTGGCTTCTCCGAGGCAGGGTGGGCTGGCTGGGGGGGGCGTGCAGAGGAGCCGTGAACTCTGAAATGCTCCCAAATCTGAAACTTCTTGGGGGTCATGATAGTCTTCAAAAAGTTCAGACTGCAGTGTCTTGCCTCTGATTCCCAGGTTAGGGATGCTGAGCTGCCTCCTGCTTAGGAGCCAGAACACAGGTTGATACTGTGGCCATGGGACAGGACGACCTGTAGTCACCACACTTCTGAAGCTGATTTTTTGTGTCTTGAGCATTTGCTCTTTACGTGAACAAAGCTGACTTCTCTTGGCGTCAGCTGACTCTGGACCTGCTGGGCAGGGGTGAGGCCAGGAGCCTGGCTCCCCTGCTCAAGGAGGGCACTGCCCCATGCCCAGCTTGCTGCCCTTTCCATTCACAGTGGGCCCAGGGGGCGGGGAAGGTAACAGCCTCGATCTGCAGTTCATGGGTCACGAAGCCTGAGAGGAAAGCAGGTCCTTGAGTTCCAGGCTCCCCAGAGTTGGTTACCCTGACTTTCCATCATGTGTGGTAGGGTACCTGCCTCTGTGGGCCAGGTGGAACCTTTGGTCCTCTCTCCAGTGTGTGCAGACAGCGTGCCTGTCCCACTCTGATGACCTCGGGATGGACTGGCCTGTCCCACTCTGATGACCTCGGGATGGACTGGCCTGTCCCACTCTGATGACCTCGGGATGGACTGGTACAAAGAGATGGGAGCGTATTCATATTTGAAGTGAATTGCAAAGCAGTTCCAGCTATGATTTTTCAAGTAGTACCATTATGACTTTGTTTTTTCCACACTTCTTCAATTGGAGTCAGATCCTTCCTGGAGATCAATAGAGCATGTAGTTCTGATACGGTGAAGGAAAAAAAATAAGTTCTGAGGCTCCTGGACTCCGGGGGAGGAGGAGCCGGGACCCAGGGGTGGGGCTGTGCTGTGGTGGGCGGGGCTTGCTCCCGTGGGCGGGGCTTGCCCTCACTGCCTTGTTTCTTCCAGGTACTTTGCACTGGGACTGCTCTACCACTACAATAACCAGGATGCCACTGCGGTTCAGGTAAGCCTGCAGGTGTTCTAGCATTGTTTTGAAGCCATACCATTTAACTTCGTGTTACTTAAATAAGTCACAAATTGGTAGAGCCCACATCTGCCTGATCCATGACTTTATGTGGAACAAAAATAATACAGGAAGTGAATTCTTTGAGAACGATTGCCCAAGTCTTTTCTTTGTGTTTATATCTTTCTAAGGAACATTACCAGAACTGAAGTTTTGGAGATTGAAGAAATAAAAAAGTATTGAGGCTTTATTTTTTAATAAGTATCAGCTGACACAAAATTGTGCACGTCTGTGGGGCACGGTGTGGTAGGCAGCTCATGCACGCAGTGTGAAGTGGTCTGATCAGGGTAACTGGCACTTCTGTCTCCTTAACGTTATCATTTCTTTGCGATAGAAGCCTTTAATTCCTGTTTTAGCCCCTTCCACAGTACATAACAGGTTGTGCTACTGAGCCAAGGACATCCTTCCTGAGTGTTGTGTAGGTGCCCCCCCCTGCCTCAGGACCCCGCCCCTCCCAGGCTCACTACCCACTCTCCGCTCAACATTTACGAAACCACCCTGAAAATAGGACTTCTTTTTTTTTTGGCTTTTTGAGACAGGGTCTTGCTATGCAGTTTAGGCTGGTCTTGAGCTCCCAGTAGCCTCCTTGTGTCAGTCTGCCAAGTGCTAGGGCCACAGGCATGCGCCACCATACTTGACAAAGGACTGCTTCCTGAGCCAGAAGGCATGCGCCATCAGGGCTTACCAGAAAACGCAGGCCACAGAGTCCGTGGTTTTCTCTGTTACTGATGGCAATAGTTGAAGTGAGCTGAGTCATAACTTGCCCACATCACAGTGATTAGGCCAGGCGGGTCCGGGCACAGTCGGCATGGGTGGTGCTGGGGCCAGGGCTCCAGGTAGCCGGCAGGAAACCAGCGTGCAGAGCTCTGGCCCCTGCAGCCTGCTCACTCGAAGCCCATCCTGCGTTCTTGGGGGCTTCCTGCCCTGCTGGACCCTGCTGCCCACCTGCATTGTGCTGTGTGACGCTTTCCCCATGTGCCCTTTTTGTTTAGTTTTGCGAGAGGCTGGGAACATCAGCCACATTCCCCAGACTAGCGTCAGTCTGCAACATTAGAGCCAGGGAGTGCTTAGTCTTTGGAGGCTCTGAGGCGCTGCCATGGTAACAAGACTGCAGAATAAAACTGTGCGGCTTTTGGCACTTTGGAAGGACACTGGCAGAAGTGAACAGAAAGCCTTTATTTTGGGCACAGGCGGAGTGCAGGAGACGGTGAGGGTCGAAGGAGGAGGCAGCGTAGGTTATCGGGTTGGACCGGGGTGGAGTTTGTATGGGAAGGCGAGTGACTGCCCAGAGCAGACCGGAGGTTTATGGGTGCATGCAGAAAGGAAACAGAAGTTTATTTTGGGACTAGCAGACAAATATAGAAGTTAGTCCTGGAGGACATGTGGTCATTTTGGGACCCCACACCAGGTCGCATCTCGCTGTGATGACTGTGGCTGTTTCCTATGGACAGAAACCCATTATAGACAGAGAATGGGTTCCCATGAATGTGCACCCCAGTGTAAGGGTAGATTTGAGTATCGCCAATTGTTGATTTATTTGCATTACTGGGGATTGAACCCAAGGCCATACACATGCTGGCCGGGTGCTCTACGGTTGAGCTATGCTCCCAGCTCTTTTTCAGTTTTTGCATCGAACTGGGGGTCTTCCTGTATTCTCCAGGATGAACTTGTGATTCTTTTTGTCTCAGCCTCCTGTAGCCTGGATTACAGTTATGCCCCACTGCACCGGGTTTATAATTTTTATTTTTTGAAATATGGTGTTCTCAGAATCATAACTTGATTGATAAAGTGCAGTAATATTAGCAAAACTAAATGGAAAAACTTTGCGAACTGTAAATGACACAGAGTAAATCTCTGTGTGTGGTGAAATTCTGAAAAGTGCTTTTAGTACACTTAGGGCTGAGTTACTTGGTTGGGGGATCTGATGTTAAGGAAGCGAGCGCAAGTTGAACCCCTCTAATCTGAAAATCTGAAATGCTTCCAAATGCAAAACTTCCTAAGTGCTGGTGTGAGGCCACAAGTGGGAAGTTCTACACCACGAAGCTTTGTTTTGAGCAAGCAACTCCCTAAAAGGCGCAGATTCCCTCCAGGCTGTGTGCCCGCGGTTTACATGAAGCATTCGTGCATTCATCCTGAGACTTGGGTCCCAGCCCCAAGGGTGTCTAATGTGATGCGAATATCCTGAAAGCTGAGTGGGCTGAGCCCTGAGACCCTTGTGCTCCCAGGCCCTGTGCAGCCGAGGAGCCTGGTGTGCTGGTGTCAGGGACAGGCACACTGCTGCCTCACTCTTCAGGCTTCTTTGGGGCTGGGTGGGACTCAGCATTGCCGCAGGTGGATGGGGTTGAGGCGCATGGGCAGGTGATGTGGGGGACCTTTTGTGTGGCCTCCGCCCCTCCCTGCCCTGCGTGCCGCTGCCTCCAGGTCCCATGAATGAGCTTCAGTTATCACGGAGGACTGTTGTACTTGGGATCTGTCCCAAGCTCCCTGTGCAAAAGACGGGAGCCTCTGGTGACAGAGTCACCAAGGCTTTTCTAGGGGCCCAGCACCTGCCCATCATGGCCCAGCAGGGCCCCGGGACCTGGAGCTGTGACAGAGAAAAGGTGGCAGGGTGGGCTGGTGCCTACAGGGGAGCTGGCTGCGCCCCAGGGCATGTGGGCACAGCCGCGTGGTTTATGAAGATGCCTGCTAGTTGTTCTCTGCTCTGCCCATAGACGTCATTTGCTGTGGGTTACAGACTGTACAGAAGAGGAAGGAAGGGTAGGGAGGAAGGGAAGAGGAGGAAGGACAGAATTTGGTGGCTTGTTTGATAGCTGGACTGTATCTTTTTATATTTCTATATCCCCCAAAAATCGACTCTGTGCTCAGCACTTACAGTTGTCGTGCACAGGCTGAGCCTTGCTTGCCCAGAGTGCTTGGGCCAGAAGCTTTCAGACTTCAGTTGTTCAGATCTGGAATACTCGCCTAGGCCCCGCTGGTGCGGCAACTCAGAACTCCGGGATCCCAAGTCAGGGCCAGCGTGCTTTGAAAAGCGGGTTTTTGAGCTAAGGAGATTCCACTTGTGTTGCAAGTCTTGAAAGGCCAGGGTACACGTGTGGCTTTAAGGCTTCTAGAGGGTATGTGACGTGTCCATTCCCGTCCAGATGTGGGTGAACATCGTGAATGGAGACGTCCAGGACGCCACGCGCGCAGACCTGTACGAGTACGTCGTGGACTTCCTCAGCACCTGCGCCGACCAGCAGCTGGTGTGGGCCCATGCCGACTGGGTGCTGCAGAGGAGCCAGGAGGTTCGTGCGGTCTCGGGGACTGCTCTCCCGGGTGCTGCCAGGGAGCAGAAGCTATGTGCAATCTCTAGTTATTGGGGGTTTTTTTAGTTTTTTGAGACAGGGTCTCACTCAGTAGCTCAGGTTGTGCCTGGATTCTCATTAGTCCTTTCCCTGCAATATTCAGGGTTATAGGCATATGCCGCCATGCTTAGCTCCACCTCCTGTGTGTTCATTGCCCCCATTTATTTGTTCATTTGTCCATTCATTCATTTGTTCTTTTGTTCAAAGACAGGGACTCACTGTGTAGTTCAGGCCTCGAACTCGCTGTGTAGCCCAGGCTGGCCCCAACCACACTGCGGTTCTCCTGCCTCAGCTGGGTCAACAGGTGTGCAGCCCCACGCCAGGCTCTTCTGCCTTTAATGCTGCTGAAGCTTCTGGGCTCTGGGGGTCCAGAGGAGCGCCTGCATTTGGTGCTTCCGAGTCATACCACTTGGATCCCTTCCAGCTGGAAGCCCCACTCTTGGTACCTTGGCGCTTCATTTCCGTCGCCACTCCCAAGGTCTGGCATTGCCGTGTCCTGCAGTGGGATCAGTTGCCACAGGGCGTGGTCATTGAGAGGCAGCAGAACCAGGCCTGGGGTTCCCTGCGGCCACCAGGGTCCTCGTCTCTGCCTCTCCTTGTGCGCAGGCTAGGGTGGAGGCAGGGGTGGGGAGCAGGACCCAGCCTGTCAGCGATGGAGCGGGGTGTGCAGCCAGGATCGAGATCCTGAGTCCTGAGCGCTGTGCACAGATGCTGGTGGCAGGGACAGCAAGCGTTGTCGCTTCCACCGTGGAGTTCCTGAACCTTGCCCTGGCTCCAGGAGAGACAGCTGGCTGTGAAGCAGGGGCTTGTCCTCAGGGAAGACCTTCTGAGCATTGCCTCTGCCTGAGCTCCTGACGCCCACACGGCGTGCTGCACCGCACCCTCCCTCCCCACAGCTGTGTGTACCCTGCCAAGGGCGCAGCCCACCAGGCCTGGCCTGCTTGCACTTGGGCTGTCCATCCCTGGTCAGGGATGTTGCCAGCAAGAGGTACCGGAGTCCCTGCATCCACTCTGTCATCTCTGGAGGTCACACCAGGTGGGTGTGAGTTACTGAAGCTCAGAGAGGTGCACTCGCTTGCTGAGGTTCTGGGGATGCTGGAGGTGACACACAAACTCAGCTGAAGGAACTCAAAGTTCACACATCAGTTGGGTTCATAGATGGTAGGTGTGGCAGAGGTGATGCCGAGCACCTCAGGGAACCAGCTTTGGAAGACAGAATCAGACCGCCTTGGGCTCTGGAAGGAAGCCACCTGGGACTACCTGTGGTCTCGTTCAGGCGGCCGCCCACCATCGCCATCCACTGTCCGCTGCCCACTGGCCAGGTAGATCACCTGTGACTTGAGCGTGGCCCCAAGTCCAGTGCTTTCCTGGTAGCCCACTTACTCCTAGGCCAGGGCTGCTTGGTGTGGGGTGACTCTAGCACTGCTGGGTGAGCCCTCAAACCTGTTACCAGCAAGTATTTCTCTGGTTTCCAGCAACTTAATAGAACTGAGCTGCATAGCGAGACCCTGTCTCAAAAAAGACAGAAAAAAAGGGGGGACTTCCAGCGGGATGTGTAGAGCACCAAGCCCAGGAAGCGTCACTGTATGCACTGTGGTCTTTGCCAGCGCTTCCTGTTGAGCTGGGTTTCTCCTGAAAAGCACTTCCTAGCACTTGATGGCATTCTGACCGGCATGGCAGAAGCGACGGCTGTGTAAGGAGCTGTCACTGTGCTCTCCTTACTGACTGAATCTGGACATGGAGCTGGTGACCCCGAGCGCCCGCTAACATGCTGTGTTCTGCCTCCAGGTTGGAGTTCAGGTCTTCACCAAGAGACCCCTGGACAAGCAGCAGAAGAACAGCTTTAATCCAGACGACGTCATCAGCTGCCTCCAGAAGTACCCCACAGCCCTGGTCAGATACCTGGAGCATCTGGTGGTGGACAGGAGTGAGCAGGTGAGCACTTCCAGCCACCTGGGTGGTGGGCCACGGCACCACGGGCCACACAGGTGGCTGTCGACTCCTGGTGGACAGTACTTAGACAAGGAGGGTCCCTCAGCTGTGCAGGCTGTCCTGATGTCCACAGAGCCCAGTGCTGGGCAGAAGGGACCTGTCCATACCCAGGTCAGCTCCTCTCCGCTTACGTCCTTCTGTTCTTCTTCATTACGCTTGGAGGGGATGAGAAAGCCATTGGTGTAGCGTCTCTATGCCCGTGGCCCTTATGCCCTGCCACTGGTAGATTACCAGGGTGGCAGCTTCCAGGGGCAGTGGCCATGTGGCTCGAGCCACCTGTTGCTCTGTGCCTGTGGCAAGCCAGCGAGTGGGCCAGTGTGCAGGGTGGAGCAAAAGCACCCACATCCAGGAAGCAGGCAGCAGGCCCTGTCCCTGGCAGGCCACATGCTAGGGACCTGTGGACCTCCGGACACCTGCTGAGGCCCCACCTCATGCCCTGCGCCTTTTCTGGTGGCACGCGGCTCGCAGGTTCACCTTGGGGAACTGTGGGCCTTGGGCCTGGGTCTTTGAGAGTTGCTCGCTCTGTCAGTGCAGTCTGGTCAGGGGAGCCCCGCTGGTCTGAGACCCAGTCACTGCACTGCCTCACTTCCTTTTCCGCTTTCACTCCCCAGAAAGCGGAGTACCACACTCACCTGGCCGTGCTCTACCTGGAAGAGGTGCTGCAGCAGAGGGCAGCCCCCAGCCACAGCGACACCACAGCCACGGAGACACAGACCAAGCTGCGGCGCCTGCTCCAGAAATCTGACCTGTACAGGGTGCACTTCCTGATGGGTGAGGGCGGTGCGCGTTCTTTCTGGAGAGGGAGGACTAGCCAGGACCCGCGAGAGCTGCCCTGCTCTCCTCAGATGCGGCGCTCACACGACCTGCTCGTCTCATGCGTGGCTCTGTTTCTATCTATTTCAGTGGCACTGGGGTGGAGCCAGGGTTCCTGCCCCTGAGCAAGTGCTCTGTGCTTCTGCCACACCCCCAGCCTCAGGTGCCCTCTCCTGAAGCGCCCCCTCCCCCCAAAGGCCAGGGGTCACAGTAACGCCTCCTGCCGGGCCTGTCCACCGGGGGTGACTGGGTTTAACAGGCAGGAGCAGAAAGATGGACATTGCCGCAGCGCTTTCCTGAGCCTCTGGCATGGGGACTGCACGGCGGTCGTGTGTCAGTGCCGTGCGCTGCGCTCCTTGCCCCCTCAACCCAGGGAGCGCCCAGAGCGCTCTTCGCATTGGGGAGGGAGTGGGCACGTGCCATTTTTGCACTCTGGACAGGCCGGGGGCAGAGGGCCTTGCTGGTCATCCACACCCCCGTGGCAGGGCTCCGGTCAGGACAGACGCTGTCTTCAGGGTCTCTTTTCCTTCTGTCCTGGAGGCATTGCTGAACAGGAAAGGAAACTTGGTTTCGCCCTCAGACTTTGTGGCTAATGTAGATGTGGGTTTTCGTACACTTTTGTGTAGAGCAGATTGGAAGGGGAGCGAGGGGTTGGACACGCTTTGGGGTGTCTGCTCTGCGTGGAAGGGAATACAGGCACCCCTCACCCATGGGCTCTGTGGCTGCGCTTGGACTGACGGTGGGGAAGGTGCGTTGTTAGAGGTGTGTGTGCCCACATAGCATCCTCCTCCTGGTCACTCACTGTTCCTGGGACAGAGGGCCACGCAGGCCTGGAGAGCTCCAGGAGGGGGCGCCGGGCCTGTGTGGACCCCACGCTTCTCCAGCTGGGCCTGGAGCACTGGGGCACCAGAACGTGGATCTGCCCTGGAGCGCGGAATGCTGTGGCTCCTTGGGTACAGCCCTGGGTGGGGGTCGGGCGTAGGGGGTGTCTGGCCTCCTTAAGTCCTGAGCCACAAGGCTTATTGGTTCTCCCCATGTCTCCCAGAGGTCGTCTCCTGGCTCCCTGAGGCCCGGGGTGCACTGCTTCAGCCCATGGTCGCGTCGGGGCGGTGTCGCTTCTTACTTGGCAGTGAGGGCAGCCCAGAGCCGGGGCCGGGTGGCTGGGCCCAGGCCCAGCCGTCCTCAGCAGCTTCTCCCCACAGAGCGGATCCGGGGCGCCGGGCTGCCTGTGGAGCGCGCCATCCTGCACGGGAAGCTGGGCGAGCACGAGCAGGCCCTGCGCGTCCTGGTGCATGAGCTCGGGGACCCGGCGGCTGCCGAGGACTACTGCCTATGGGGCTCTGAGGGCCGGGGCGCCGCCTGCCGCCAGCACCTCTTCCACACGCTGCTCACCATGTACCTGCAGGCCGGGCCTGCGGCTCCTGAGCTCGCTGTGGCTGCCGTGGACCTGCTGAACCACCACGCGGGGGAGTTCGATGCTGCGCAGGTGCTACAGCTGCTGCCCGGCTCCTGGTCAGTTCAGCTGCTCCACCCCTTCCTCACGGGAGCCATGCGCGGCAGCATCCACGCTGGGAGGACCGCGCAGGTGGCACTTGGCCTGGCCAGGTCGGAAAACCTGCTGTACACAGCCGACAAGGTGGGTGTGGTTGTCCGTCTCCTGCCATTGCCTCACACGGTGTCCTCACACACAGGCAGGACTGAGGAAGTCTCAGGGCCCTACACAGAGGAGCCCCCACCATGTCTTGCTGCCTGCTCCCCTTACCTCTTGGTGACCTTTTTCTGCATGGCTGGCCCAGCAGGGCCTCTGATGTCTGCCCCAGCAAGGCATTCCCCCATGGCCTGTGTCTCCACACTGCACTGCCTGCCTTGGCCTTGAGGGCCGTCTCAGAGGGGCCACACAGTCCCACGGCCTAGGGTGCGAGCGCTGCGGCGTCGGCCTGCTGTCCTGGGGTAAAGCCGCCTCTCGCTGGGGCAGATGAGCCCCCTCACACACCGGGGTGCTCCGTGCCCTGTGTATGACTTCCCTCTTAGCCCCTGAGTTCGCCGTGGGTGGATGGCTCTGTGTGTCGTCTGCTAACCTGGGGCTCAGCCCGGTGTGCTGGGCACCGACCCCACTCATAGCTGGAGGGGCCCCAGAGTACGAGAGCAAGGCGAGTCCACCCAGCTGCTGCCGACAGCCCTGCCTGGTGGGCGCAGTGAGCCGTGCAGCAGGACCCTGCAGGCTCAGGTTCTGCTCAGCAGGAGCGTGGGGGCTCGGCTGCTCAGCGACCCCTGAAGACAGCGCCCACTTTAGGCGACCAGGCACCGTGTGGCTGTGCCCAAGCCACTCTGCGCCTTGCTGTCCTCACTGATCACACAGAAGCCCCTGGGGCATCCTGAACATGTGACCCGGTGAAGGGCCTGAGCCGGCACTCTAGGCAGGTGGAGGGGGAGATGGCTGTCGGCAGCAGCGATGGCTGTGGGGACAAGCTTTTTCTGTTCTCTGGTTCCTGAGGGTGGCGGTTGTGTGCCTTTCCTTTTTCTCATTGTTGACACAAAATACACACTGCCCAAATTAAAGGGGGAAAGGTGTATTTGGCTCACAGTTTGTGGAGGTTTTGTCTATATTTGGCTGGCTCCAAGGCAGGGTGGCACGTGGCAGAGGGCAGCAGTTCATGGTGTTCATGGTGTCGGGAAAACAGCGAAGCAGCAAGCGCAGAGGGAGGAGCAGTGGTGGAGAGCAGGCCTCTCCCTGCCTTGCCTGAGCAGCTGCTGGCCCCAGCGCCGGAGCGCTCACACCCAGACTCCCAGCCCTGGCCCATGCATCAGACCAGACGCCCCCGTGACTGCATGTGGCCTTGGGGGGGACACCCAGACGCACAGCCACCACAGTGCTGCTGCTCGTCTCCGTCCCTGCCCACGGCCTCAGGAAGCCCCTGTGAAGCCCTCTGTCAGCGTCAGCGTGGGGCCACAACACCTGCTCACTGTAGCGAGGCAGCCCCTCGGGCCACTGCCAGCGCCGTGTCTCGCTTCTGTTGCAGATGAAGCTGAAAGGCCGTGCCATCCGGCTCTCGGACCAAAAGCTCTGCCAGCTGTGCCAGCATCCCTTCACAGAGCCTGTGTTCGTCCGGTACCCAAACGGGGGGCTCGTGCACCCCCACTGTGCCGCCAGCAGACACCAGGCCCCCAACTCTCCCAGCCCTGGCACCCGGACTTGAAGAGCTGTGCTTGAAGGTGCGAGGGTGCCAGAGTTCTCGTCCACACCTGCTGGACACAGAGCAGGCGGCCGCACACCAGTGCCAGCGCAGAGGGTGGTGTCGGGTGCTGGGAGACGTCTGCTCTGAGAGCCAGGGCCCCTCCCTGCCAAGCGCTCTGTGACCAAGAGCACAACTCTGGGACAGTGAGGGCTCCCTGTGCAGTGCCGTCCTCCAAAGCCAGAACAAGCAGCAGCCAATGTCCCCACCCAGGTGGCTCCACCACCCCCAGTGGCCAGCCTTGGGGACGAGACGTGTGTTCCTCCTTCCCTCGGTGCCTGCCTGGTCACCAAGCACTACTGTGTGTCTGGCTGCCTGGCAAGCGGAGCTGTGTGTAGGACCTGCGGGAGCCCCATGGCAGCAGCGGCAAGGCAGGCTCCTGTCGGTCAGTGTGGGCTCACGGAAGACTGTGGTGTGACCCTGTGCAGACAGGCATTTGTATCTGAACTTGTAGCACCTTTGTAGATTTTCTTGAGTTGGAAAATTCACCTGCCACGTTCACTAGGGATGCTTCTCTCAGTCAAATGTGCCTCCTCCCAAAGACCTGGGAGCCAGAGAGACGGGCACAGAGTGAGCATGCCTCGCAGGAGGGCCAGGGCCGGGACTGGGGCTGGGGCGGCGCTGCCCTGCAGGGGAGCCTGCTGCTGGGCTCTGTGCAGTTGGGGGGGTCCGGCCAGGCCGCCTTAGCTCCCCTCACCTCTGTGCCTGCCCCGAGGGCCCCTGAGTCCACAGAAAGCGGCCTCTGCCCTTCCTGTGGGGTTCCTTGTGTCTGTCCATCCCTGACCCGCTGCAGCCACGGTCACTTCACTGCCCACCTGTGAGCACATGCGCGTCTCCCCAAGGATGGAGGCTGGGGTCCGGCATCGGCTGGCATGGGGGATGAGGGCTGCACCCACCTGAGCAGCGCCTGGGCTGCAGAGACCTGCCCTCTCAGTGTCCGCTTACCTCTCAGTCTTCGAGTGAGCCGAGAAGATGAAGATGAAGCTCTCCCCATTGCTGTGCGCTGCGCAAGCCAGGGTGGGTTCGTGGCCCGGCTGCGGACTCCCTGTGGACTAGGGCTATTACAGAGTGTGCGCCTTGCCCAGATGTCACCGGCTCGGCCACGGCATGGGGCTTGGGTTCCTCAGAGAGCACGTTAATGTCCATGCAACATTGCACTTTCAAAACCTCTGTTCCTTCCCTACACAAAGTGGGTCTAATCTCGACAAAGGCTTGTGGCTGCCCATTGGTAACATGGGCACCCCTGTCTGTCTGAACCCGGAGCATTACTGTGAAGCAGACGGCGTCCTTCCCAGGGTGGGAATGGGCGCTTCCCATCAGCTGGTGGGCGTGCTGTCGTGTGCGTGAGGACCTGTGTCCCTGGTGTTGGTCACGCGCGGGAGGTCTTTTGGTCCGGCCCTGTTTTTCAGGTCTGCTCTATGGTTGCCCTTCGCAGAGCACGGGAGCTGTTGTCAGGGCTCCACCAGCTGCTCTGGTACAGTGGCGTGAGCAGAGCTCGGCTGGCACGGCCGGTCCCTGGGCAGTACTGCATAGCTTAGGAGCTATTCGCTCTGCTGCGTGCCGAGTCCTAGCAGAGGAGCCGGGGCTGCGGGCTGGAGCACAGAGCCAAGAGGTGTGGGTGGCGACCGCAGGGGCGGCACTGGCCTGTCTTTCCTTTCCCCTGGGCCCTTTTGTCCTTGGACCTGTATCCTTCATCTCTTTGGGCCCCAGATATTCAACCTGTACAAATGTAAACTTGTTAATTTTATTAAAAAGAATTTTAATTCTTTGTTTCTTTTACAAAAATTGTTGGGGTGAGGTGGTGGCGCCCACACACGCTGTCTAGGGTGAAGAGCTCTAGAGCTCGAGTGCTGCACCTCCTGGCCCGCGGGCGTGACCCCCCTTGCCCTGAGCTGTCCTGGGTTTGGAGGACACTGCTGGCCCGCAGTGACTTCAGAGGAGCACCCAGCAGTGGTGCCCGGCAGTCCCCGGTCGCTGCCTGCTGCCTGGCCTGCAGCCACGCGTCTAGCCTGGGAGCCCTTTGTGAGGTACAGCCAGGGCTTGCGGGTTCACTCCCACCTCCTTCCCTAGTTTGGTGTGGGTGCTGTCTTGGGGCTTCCTGGATGGCTTTCGTCCTGGTTCCCTTTGTGGGCAGCACAGGAGGATGTGTGTGTGTGTGTGTGTGTGTGTGTGTGTGTGTGTGTGTGTGTGTAGGCGAGGCGTCTGAGCCATCCCACAGCCTTGGAGCCCCAGGGCTGCTGCTCTGAGACCCCCTCAGCAGCAGCCAGGGCAGCTCCATGCTTCCTCACGGATGGGCTAGGCTGTATTCACAAATTCTGGGGGATGGCAGGCGACACGGTGCTGGGCCGTGGGGGTGGGGCGAGACGCATGTAAGCCTGGCCACAAAGAAAGGGCCAGCAGTCCTGAGGGCAGGCGCGAGGCTGTGTGGCCCGGTGTCCTCAGTCAGCAGGGGCAGAGACTGGCTCTGCCTCCGGTGGGTGAGCTGGGATCCCGCCACGGCCTGCTTGCTCCTGGCCAGTCTGTCACTGAGTGCTCGAGATGAGCGTGTGCCAGACTCAGGACCAGATGGACCACGCTTGCGGGAGCCAGCGCCAGGAGATGGTCAAGCCTGCTGGGAGCGCACCGGAGCCCATGAAGCCCTCAGGTGCACTTAGCCAGGACAGGGACACAGCACTAAATCCGTCTGCAGCCTGAGTCCTGAATTAGTCAAAAGAACATGGGGCAGGAAGGGATTAGAAAGCAGTGTAAGCCGGGCCGGCCAGATAGCTCAGTGGATTAAAGCTGCTCTGGCGGGCACAGGCACCAGGTTTGGATCCCTGATGTGCCATGTCAGCTCTGCCCCCAGGGCATGCTCAGATGGCAATTGAGACTGCATGTGGTGGCGCATGCCTGTTAATCCCAGCGCTTGGGAGGCTGAAAACAGGAAGATCACTATGAGTCCGATCTGTGTAGTGAGACCCTATATTAAATATGTTTTTTAAAAGCAATGCAAGTGACTTGGAGGGCTGAGTCTGACCTGGAGGTGGCAACTCCTGGGAAGCCTGCTCCTCAGGGCTGTGACACAGGACACTGGTCCTGTGCAGCCTCGAGCTGGGGGCATCCGTGGTCCCCTGAGGGTGAAGCTGTGGACATCAGTGCTGCGAGGTCCAGGCTGGGCGGGTGACCATGCCACCCCTGGGGTTCCTGGTCTGGGGCAGTCCTGGTAGCTGCCCCCAAACCATCCCCCAGCCCATCCCCCCCAGCCGTCTCCAGGGCTGCAGCGGTTCCACCCCTCAGCTGCCCGTGAACGGCCTCCACTGGTGCTACCGCCCTTCCCCAGCACCTCCCACTCCTCACTCCTTGTCTTCTCCTATCTGACCTGCTCTCAGGCCGGGCGGCGGGGCTGAGACGGCAGGCGTGCCACCCGCCCACGCGAGCTGTGACTCACGGGCGCAGGGGTGCGTGGTGGGGTAGGGCTGGCCACCTCTGCGCACCGGCTCAGACAGGAAGTCACAGCGGGCAGCAGCTCATGCCTAAATACGAGGAGAGGAGCGCACAGCTGTCTTAAGAATAGACAAGAGCACGGCTCCCGTTGCTACTAAGAGGAGTGCACGCGTACACCAGAGTAGGGCTCCTGGTTTCCGGGTAGCTTATGAGGACGTATCCACTTCATAGGAATGAAGCCTGGTATGCAGTGTTATACCCCAAGCCCCCCAGAGACAGCTTACTATATTACTAATGCGGCTACATTTGACAACAATGTGTAGTTTTTCAAATTGTTTGCACAGCATAAAACATACCATTCAGGCACGTTTAAGTGTATGGAAAGTGGCATCAGCACCCCACCCCTCCGTCCCCACAATCCACACCCAGAGCCTTCCTGACCTTCTCAACGGGTTCCTGCTGCCCCAGCCCCTGGAGAGAGCTCGGCCCCTGCTGCTCCCTGGCGTGGCGCCCTCTGAATTCATCCACACTGCAGCTGATGTCCCACCTTTTTTTTCTAATGTGGAGTCGCATAGGACTAAAAATTAAATAAAATGAAGGGGCCGGAGAAACAGCTCAGTCCCAAGTGCCTGCTTGGCAAGTGAAAGGTCCTGAGTTGGATCCTCGGTACCCCCCCAAAAAAAATGAAAATAAAAATAAACAGTGTAGTTACCAAGAAAGTGGGTTGCATAGACTACGTACACATAGAGTTTTATATAAAGTTAGAATTGTTGGTGAGATGGCTCAGTGGTCTAAAGCACCTACTTAGAACAAGCTTAGCAAAGCACAGGGACCGCGGTTCAATCCCCCAGCACCACATGCCAGCCAGCCCCGCCCCCTGGTGGGCTGAGCTGGCCACACATGCACACATAAATAAATAAATTAATTTAAAAAAAAAAAAAAAGAAAGAAAATATATAAAGTTAGAATTGCTATTCAATGCATTCACAGGACCTTCGCAGGTCACCCCCTACCCACCCTCTGCAGCTGTCACTTACTGTTCTGGTCTCTTCCTGCACTTGAAACACAAGAACACACAGAGCTCAAGAGGAGCCTCGTGCAGGCCTTGGGAATGGCTCCAGCCAGGGCAGGGCCTTTGTCCCCAGGGGACACACAGGAGGCTGCACCTCCCCTGCTGACCCCAGGTCTGTCCCCAGCCGGCCAGGATGGAGGACCCTCTGTGACAGCTCCTCTGCTGAGTCTTGCATGAAGCCAGCTCTGAAGCCAGGACAGAAGCACTCTCGAAGCTGAGCGGCAGGAAGGTGGGCGTCCCCGGCGGCCTCCAAGTGAGCAGCAAGGGTTCCTCTCATTCCCTGGCCTCTGACAGCACCCTGGGGCGCCTTGGCGAGGAGAGAAGGTGTGGCCATCCCCAGCTTGCTGTTCAGCCCCTCGGGCTCCTATCCCTCAGCTGAGTTGGTCACTGCCACTGGCTGTGGGGCAGGGAGGGACAGTTCCCTGCCTCACCTGCGGCAGAGTAGGCTGTGCAGAACACAGGGCTCCGGGTGGGGCAGGAAGGGCTGCACGCCGTGTGTGTGTGTGTGTGTGTGTGTGTGTGTGTGTGTGTGTGTGAGAGAGAGAGAGAGAGAGAGAGAGAGTGAGAGAGAGAGAGAGAGAACAGCGGGGACCTAGCTTCAACAAGTGGGACACCTGGTCCCTAGGGGTGCACAGCAACCGCAGAGCCTCTGGAAGCAGGCAGAGGAAGTGCTGGTGTTGCATAGTGCCTCATTCACACCAACCTCCATCCTTGTCACACAGTCCCTGTTTACACAAATCCTGGAAGGTGAGTAACAGACAGTGCGGCAGCCCCGCCCAGCCCAGCCCGCAGCAGCCTAGCCAGGACACGCGCTGTTTGAGCCCCATAGACTGCGATCTGCAGTACCCAGTGGTAGGCATCCCATCAGCAAGGGAGAACAGGACAGTGGCAAGCAGGGCAGGGAGGAGGCTCGCAGCAGTGAAGTAGAGGTGTGAGAGGAGTGGGGCCAGAGGGCTTCGGCTTGGGCCTGGCACAGTGTTGGGGCACCTGCAGCCCCCAGCGCCGTCCGAGGGCAGAGCCCGGGCCCAGCCTCTGCGTGGAAGGTGCTGGCAAGTGCGTGGCTGTCCAGTGCCACAGATGTCAAGAGAAAGAGCCTGGAGTGTCGCCTAACGCTTCTCCCTTATTTACGTCCGCTCTAAGAGTAGATCACGCTTTCTGCTGTTCCCTCTGCAGTTTGGAAGTGCTCTGCCTTGCCTGCCTTTCCTGGGCAGCTGGCGCCCCAGTACAGCACCGAGGCGTCCTAGTGCTGCTGAGCAGCCCTGAGCCCCCAGACGATGGCAGCAGCATTTCAATGAGGGCAGAAATGAGCCCCATGTTCCCCAGGGGGCTGGCAGGAGGAGCAGCAAGACTCTCATAAAATCTGCCAAACGGACTTGGCAGTTATTTCCTGGACTCCAGTGACAGGTGAAGGGACATCAGCCACCAGAGGCTGCTGCCTGGACTGCACAGGACTTAGGCGGGGGCAAACTGTGTTAATGATGCCACAGGGATCCTGGCACTTGCCTGTGGCCCTCCGCGGAGCCTGCAGGACGTGAGCACTTTCTGTCCCTGTGGAGGGACCCCGTGCTCCCAGCTGCTGCTCATGCCCTCTGCCACCATGGCCATCCCTGTCACCTTGGAGCTCCAGGACACCTTGTTCTCCTCCAGGACAAAACACAGAGCACAGAGGGACTCTGACTATTGAGGTGGGCATAGCCCAAGGTTCGCATGCACACGGACTCTCACCAGTCCACGATCCAAATGCAGGCACGGGCAGGGCCCCACGCTCTGCTCTTGTGGAGTTAGGCCACCAGGTTCGCCCATGTCCTGCTCCACGCTGCCACGGCAACCCCGCACCGTTCCACAGCTGTGGCCTTGAAAGTGTTCTCACATAATCAAGCCCGCAGACAGGCTTGCAGAGAGCGGTGTTAGAGGCTTATTGTTTCATTAGTCATTTTTTTCCTCACCTTGGAAAAGTTCATCCTTTTCTGACTGCAAATTTTTACAGTTTAGCATTTCTGTCTCCCATTTTTGGGGTCCTTGTGCTTGCCAGGCAAGCACTTATTCCACTGAGTTATGTCCCCAGATCTGGAAGGTTTAAAGTGATAGTTTCTCCTTCACCCAGTCACAAATGCACATTTTGCTTTTGGATGTGAGACTCTTATCTGTGAAGGTCAGGGTGAAGAGAGACGGCCTTCCTGGCCTGATGTGGTTGAAGTATGTTTGCTACCGTGGGCAACGGCTCATTTAAGAAATTTGTACAGAGGACTTCAAATATCATGTGTTCTAGAATCTCTTGTTTCTGTTTCTGTTTTAATTGTGGAAGGTGCTAGCACCCTGGAGTCCTCTTTGGCATGAGCTGGCCATGGCTGGGCACACTAGGGACCCCATTTCCCAGCTTCCTTTGCAGTGAGGAATGGTCACATGACCACAGCTGGCCAGGAACTTGCGGGCTGTCTGACATGTCCCCTGTCACAAGCTGGAACACAGAAGCAACTGCCCCTGGACTGATCATATGAGACACTGTGGGACACTGGGACATTAGGAAATGAGGTGAAGGAACCTCCCGAGAGCCGGGTAGAGCACGGCACCCGCCTGGCTGCCGTGGGCTTCTGGTGTCTGCCTATCTGTCTGTCTGTCACCTTTGTGTGGTTCTCCTTTATGCAAATGCCGCCCAGCTCCTTCCTGCCTCCTGGGCTCTCAGAGATGCTGAGACCCAGGATGCCCACGGGCGAGTAGCCCGCATGTGCAACTCCTTCTGGCCAGGGTGGGGCTCGTACCCGATCCGCTGCAGTTCACGAGCAGCTCCGACTGGCAGGTGATGAGCGGAGTGGGGTGCGGCAGAGCTACCGGGCCCAGCCTGCCCTGTGAGGTCGTCTCATGTTCCTGCGTCAGCGCACGCTGTCAGCTGGAGCCTGAGCCTGGCTGGAGCCACGTGTGGATGAGGAGAGGGACTGTGGCACTGCGCCCAAGGCGATGACAGGCCCCTGTCGTCTGTTGCTGGAACACACGTCCCAAAGCCCAGGCCTCCTGAGCAGCCTGCCTGTGCCGTGGGGCGGTGTGGCCAGCACTCTTGGTGGCTGCAGGATGCGGCCACTGCCCAGGAAGACCAGGACTGCATTACAGGACAGCAACTTTCAGCCATATCCCGCCCCGGGAGAGGGGAGTGGAGCCGAGGATTGGGTCAGCACTGCGAGCCAGTGAGCTAACTCATTGCGCTTGTGCACTGGAGCGGCTATAGAACCCAAGGGATTGCCCTCATGGTTCAGGTAGCTCAGTGGGGGTGCCCTAGGGGCGCCATGGAGAGAGCCCCGAAGCTCTGTGCCCCTCGCTCGCACCTTGCCCTGTGCAGCTCCTCCCTGGGCTGCCCACAGAAGGGCCTAGCAATGTCCTTTCTAATGAAGGGTCCATGTAAGTAAAGTGTGCTTCCAAGTTCTGTGCTCCTCTAGTGAATTAGTCTCCTGACCCCACTCTCGCCCAGAGGGCAGCCCTGGTGTGGCGAAGCAAGTGGGGTGCACTACACCTGTAGTGGCCGTTGCCTCGCAGTTGCAGCGTCTGCTGTAGGCCCTGCCTGGGGCACAATCCTCTGCCTACATTACTTCACTCCTACGTGAGTGGGAGTGCTAGGGGTGACCCCCCAGCACCTTGCACATGCGGGGCAAGTGCTGTGCCCCAAGCCATACCCAGCCACCCAACAGACGACACAGTTCTGCAGGAGGAGCTTGTGCATTGTGTAATAGGTTGCAGTGCTGGGGATGGAGACCGGGGCTCGGTGCATGCTAGGCAGGTGCTTGCCCTGGAGCCCCTTGTCCGTGGAAGAACCCAAGCCAAGCTCTGAGCTCACCGATCTGTGGGGCCAGGGTGTGAACCAGCTCAGTGGGGCTACAGGGGGTGCAGAGATGCTCTCCCCGAGGGCTCCTGCCCCAGGCAACACAGCGGGAGCCATGAGAGCTACCAGGGCTCAGAGCCACCGTCTGGAGCCCATCTAGACTCTCTGGCTAGGTTGTAACCTCTGGTTTCATTTTTCCCTGATGACGGAGACCATGATTCCTGGGGCAACAATGACAGGTTCTGAGGGTTTGTTGCAGGTAGCACAACACCTTTGAGATTCACGGTCAGCCCTTCTTGTCCTCCTTGGGTTTGATTCTGCAGATTCACCCGAGCAGGGACGGGGGATCCTGTGTCTGGGAATAACTTTTCCGGCACTGCACATGTCCCGGCTCTGTTGCTCCCTCACAGTGCGCCACATTTATGATGTTTTGGGCCCCATCACGGGGAGACGATGTAAGTGTTCAGAGCCGTGCCCGGGTACTGCGCAGAGGCCACTCCGTGCTCTAAGGGTTCCGGCACCTGCAGCTCTGCTGAGGGTCAGTTCAGACCCCTTGAGCATGCAGCCTTGTTTGTGTCTTTTCCAAGGAGCCCAGGGGCCTGGCCGTGTGTGGAGACCAGCTGTTACCATGGCGGCAGCTTCCTGGCCCCCACCTGGCCCCTGCAGGAACAAGCCAGATGTGAGGCTCTCTACCTTTGCCCCCAGACTTGGGGAACCCGCCAGGCTGAAGTGGAGATGAAAACCGAACACATGACTGGCACCAGGTGAGGGGGGCCATGCTCACCCCAGAGCTGGCACTGCCTGGGTCTCAGCAAGCCCAGGTATGCAGGGCAGCACAGAGCACTGCAGCGGGCGGGCAGGCGCCAAGTCTGGCCGGCTTATGGCCCGAGTTCCAAAGAGGAACAGAGAGCAACATGGCCCCTCTTGGAGACCCTGTGTCCGACCTCCAGTTGTCCTTACGTTGTGACATCCTTTGGGCTTTGGCTTTGCTAGTAATTCACAGGCCCTAGGCTCCCTGAAGTCCCTTGGTCCAGGAGCGCTGTGGCCAGGGTTTGGTGTTTCCCAAGATGCACGGGTTCAGCCAGTCCCAGGGGCTTCTGGAGGCAAGCAGTGCTGAGGCTCAGGGGATCCCGCGCTGTGGACACGGTGGACTCCGCCCCGAGCCAGGGAACAGCGCTGCCATGACACCCCACCTGAGGGAACCTGGGCCGCAGCCTTCCCCGCCCCTGAGCGGAGACAAACACGTGCTGCTCTCTGTAGGCACAGGCACGTCGCCACAGCATTACAGGAGGGTTAGGTGTTGGATTCCGGCTGGCTCTTCATGGACTTGACGTGAGTTTGGGCAAAAATGTGACCTTATACACCGGAAGGGCAACAGTACTTTATTTAAAATATATACAAAATTATTACTTTGAAATGTATAATACTGTCAAACGTATAGCACGCAACATGGATTGATGTACATTTGGTACCTTCAATGAGTTTGCCGATTTCTGATGAAATCCTCTGCAAAGTGGGTGGGCGGGAGGAGAGTACACAGGTGTGGTCCCTCATGGCTGGCTGCACCCCGTGCACCACTGGGCACCGGACGCCTGTCCCGAGAGCTGTGGCCAACCCTGTTCTGCCCAGGACAGAGAAGCACAGGGTGGGCTCCATCAGCCTCCTCCACCTGGCGGGGAGGGAAGCGGCAATTACCTTCTGGACGGCCCGTCCTGGGTGCAGACCAACGCAGATGGTGCTCTTTGTGCCTGGCCTGGCACCTCCAGTCCAGCCCACGACCACCACTGCTGTAAGGACAGAACCAGGAGCCTCAAAGGAGCAAATGGGAAGCACAGCAGGATTCTGCGCTCCTGGGCTGAGCTCCGGGACCCCGAGATGACCCCAGCGCCACCTCTGGGCTCAGCCCGCCCAGCCCTCCTCTGCCCTACAGTGCCAACATCTAGGAGATGCAATGTGTGTGCAGGGAGTCGGGGTGGCAGAAGACACCCCGTCAGAATCAGAGTGAGGTCTGCTAGACTGGCTCCCTTGCTTGGCAAATGGGGAAAGAGACTAAAAAGAAGTGAAATGAACAAGGTCACCCAACCAATCCCTGAAGGAGTAGAACCTGGGCACAACTTTTCTGAGTTTCTCCCAAGTGTGTCACTCTTCAGACCTGATTCTGGGAGAGAGAGAGCTCGTGGGGTCTCCTCCCACACGGGGAGCTCGCGGGGGCAATGGGTGACCAGGCGTAGTGGCTGAGTGTGGGCATCTGCTCTCCCGGGTCCTGACCCACACAGGTGGCCCGGCAGCAGCCCGCGATGTGGGTGAGGTAGGAGGAGAGAGACCTCTTTACTGCCCCTGGCACAGCGCCCTTGCTGGTGCGGATTTGGCGTGTCCCCAAGGCTCAGAACCCAGAGTGTGCAGGGAAACCAGTGGGCAGAGAGAGTCACTACGGACACCTACTCGGGTACTCTAGGCTGTGGCATCCAGAACACTGGGAAAGACGGGCAGGAGGGGGCAGAAGAGGGGAGGAGTGGGACAGCAGTGGGGGCCTGTGTGAGTGGCCAGCATGCGTTCTCACTGCAGCCGGCTGCCTGGAGCTGCTCGAGAGCCTTACAGGCCCTGCCCGCTCACGGCTCCGCAGTGCAGGGGGACTTGAGAGGCGGGCGCCCTCCTCTGCTTTCTAGCTCAACTCCCGTTCCTTTCTAGGAAGGCTAAGTTGGCACCATCTGGAACGGTCACCTGGCCAACGTGAAGAGCACCGTGCTGTTCACCGGGCCCCACAACCTAAGTAGCCTTGAAGAACACTGGTGGCGGATGGAACAGATGACAGCCTAGGTCAGGGCTGAGCCCTCCATGGCGTCTCGGTTCCCGGCACACTGTGCTAGAGGCTGTGTGGGCACCAGGGTGGCAGCCCGCCTGGCTGCCTCCCCCACACTCCTGCCTCGCTCTTGGCACACCTGCAGCCCCCTTCCCTGTGCCCGTCGACCTTGTTGTGGTTCTACTATGAGACACAAAACTAATTCACCTTGCCAAAATTTGAAATTTGGGTACTGCAGCCCGTCGGGTGACACGTGAGTACTTTTGTGCTTAAACAGTCACCACACGACACAGACGAGACACGGACTGCAGGAAGCCCCGTGCCTAGACAGCCGATTGGTTCTCGGCGCACACGTAGACTGTGCTTGGCCGGATGCGCCGCTGGACGCGCTCAGGCACCCTGGGGAGGATGTGGGAGGGCTGCGGCAGCAGCTCCATGCAGGCCTCGCGGAACTTCTTGATCCTCCAGCAGTAGACGATGGGGTTGAAGGCCGACTTGAGATAACTGAGCCACAGCACGCAGGCACTGGCGGTGTAGAAGGAGGAGCCATAGTAGAAGCTCCGGCTGAACACCGACAGCAGGCTGTAGACGGAATGTGGCAGCCAGCAGAGCGAGAAGCCCACGAAGAGGATGAGGATGGTGGTGAAGGCCTTGGTTTTGAAACTCAAGTCCATACTGGCCTGCTGCTGCCGCTGCAGCCGCCTCAGGCCGGCCCGGGTCAGCTGCCGCAGGGCTAGGCTGTCCGACTGGCTGTGCACGCGCACTGCGTTCTTGCGTACCGTGTTGAGGATGCACAGGTAGGAGCAGAGCATGACACCGAAGGGTACAAAGAACACGGCCACCACCAGCGTCACCACATAGGCACGGTCAGCCGGGAGCTCAGTGTAGCCCAGCACACACTGCGGGGCACGAGCAGGCACCTCCACCAGCGTCCAGCCCCATAGCGAGGGGGCTGCGATGCAGAAAGACAGAGCCCAGGACACGGCGATGACCCCCTTGGCCCTGCGTGGGGTCAGCCTGTCCTGGCGCTGGACAATGATGAGGAAGCGGTCCATGCTGATGATGACCAGGATGGCCACGCCCTCGAGCACAAAGAGCCAGTACAGTGTGGCCGAGAGCCGGCAGAAGTGGTCCCCGAAGTGCCAGTGGACAGTGATGAGGGTGACAGCAGTGAAAGGCATGCAGCACAGAGACAACATGATGTCGCAGAAGGCCAGCGTGGCCAGCAGCAGGTTGATGGCGGAGCGCATAGCTGGTCTCTGGTACACGATGACGCAGACCACTGTGTTGCCCAGGAAGCCCACCACCATCATGAACAGCATCAGCACGGCCAGGGAGATCCGGAGTGGGGCAGACAGCAGCGTGGCCCGCAGGTCCGACGCGTTGCTTACGTTCGACTGCAGATAGTCATAGGGCTGGAAGGAGGAGCTGTTGCAGGCCATGTTGGGGCGGCAACAGAGCGGGCAGCAGGGCTGGCCCTCAGCACACGGGGGCCTCCCACTGTCTGTCTGCTGGCTGCATCGTCCCCTTGGATGTCCTGGGTTTCCTGGAGCTGGGTGCTCAGAAAGTTTCTGCTGGGTGCGGCAGCTGGGAGGTGTGATTCCCAAATCACGGCCAGGTCCCTCTGTGGGAACAGATCATGGCCCCTGCTTCCTGTATGGTGCTCTGCAACCTGGAGCAGGCGGGAGAGAAGGATGGGGGCATTAGGCCTTCTCCACATGCTCGTGCTCTGAGCAGGGTGCGTGCGTACACTGGACAGGCGTTAGGCTTTCTCCGCATGTGCTGAACAGGGTGTGCACGTACTCTGGGCAGGTGCAAGTGGACATGCTTCTGGGAGATTCACACTGGTGGGCTCAGCCAGCCAGGACCGGAGGTAGTCACAAAGACCAACCGTGTGTGAACCGCACAGCTATGCACTGCCTTTCTTGTCATTCTCTCAATGATACACCAACTGCTTACGGAGTAGTCAGGACACGCCAGCTATCATGGGTCATCTGGACAGACTTCAGGGTGTGCGGCCAGGTGACACAGCCCACACGCAAGCACTGTGTCATTTCACAGAAGGCACCTGAGCATCCAGGGATTTAGGTCTCTGCAGCAGGACTCGGGCCTGTCCCTGGTGATTCAGGGCTGCTGAGCAGAGAGGAGATACTTACCGGTGTATCATATATGTCTTGTCAAGAAGTCCAGGAAAACCTAATCCACACTATGTTCACGGACTCAGGAAGTAGGTACTTACTAATTAATTTGCATTTATATACCAAATATTTATGTAATACCTCAAGTTTTAAGCAGCCTGATTGAATGAGGCCAGGAAAAAGCCAACTTCTGTTAGCTGCTGGCTCTGAGAAGCCTAGTGCCATCCTACTCCAACCACCTTCAGCAAGTACCACCTCTCAGCACACGAGACTGTCAGGGAGCATGTGAGGTGTGGCCTGGCCTCCACGAGGCCCCAAAGGCTCATGTCCCCCTCACTACGCACAATGCGTTCAATCTGCCACTAAACGCCACTGAACTGTCAACAGTTCCAACATTCCTCAGAAGACCAAGTCCGAAGTCTCTTCTGAAATGCAAGGCAACTCTTAGCTGTGAGTGCCTACGAAAGTACAGAAGCAAACCACATATTTCAGCGAGACAGTGGCACAGTGGAGCGCCAGCGTATGTACTGGTGCAACACAACGTGCAAACCGACAGCTCCAGGGAGGAGAGGCTCACTTTGGCTTACAGTTCCGGTGGATCCCGTCCATGGTCAGCTGGCTCCCAGCAGGAGCACCCTGCCCAAAGTGCGTGACAGAGCAAAGATGCCTAGCTCAGGGCTTCCGGGATGCAGGGCAGGGCATCAGTGTCAGAGAGGAAGTGACAAGCCAGACCCAGGTCCCAAGGCTGCCTCTGTGACCCGCCAGACCCACCAGGAGGGGCGCTCCAGCTAACTCCAGGGCAGAGCCCCGAGCCCACCAAAGCGACCTGCATCCTCACCAACACATCCCACTCCTGGTCAGCCTCACCCAGACACATCTCTTTATATCATACTCAGCCTCCCAACCCAGCGACAGTAGGTTCACAGTGCTGCGGATGCGCACAACGGCCCTGCCTGTACCAGAGAGGTGGCAGCCCCTTCTGCCATGTTTCAGTCTCTTTTGAGACTCAAGGCAAACTCTTAGCTGTGAACCTCTGTAAAAATCAAACCAAGTTGCATCATCTCAAGGTACAGTGGCACAGGGTAAGCATTCTGACTGCAAAAGGGAGGAATAGACAGGAATAAGACGGAAGTAATACCCAGCATCTGGTCACGTGCTGGCAGCATGCTAATTCCTGAGGGCATGGGCAGCTCCACTGTATGGCCCTGCTGGCTGCAACCACCTGGCCTTTCTTGACCCGGCTCCACTCACTGCCCAGCGTCTCCTTGACAGAGGCGCCACCTTGTGGCATCTCCAGCTTCTGGAGTTTCTGCTGCAGCTGCAGCTTCCCTCCCATAGCTTTAAGCAACACTCTCTGGGTTCACGGTGGTGACTCTGACCCTCGTCACTCATCACCTGGCCTCCTGGGCCTTCCTTGGCAGTCTAGGTGAGAGTGCCCATCACCACATAGCTCTTATTCTGTGTGCCGGCAGGACCAGCATCCCATGGATGACACCAAGTTCTGCCACCAGCTCAGGCAATCACCAGCGCCACTTGGCGCACAGTCACAACAGACTCCAAGGTTTTGGTTGCTGGACCTGGGAGTACCTTCCCTAGATGCCCCCGAGTCAGCGGCGCGCCCAGGGCTCTCCGCAAAGCAGCATCTTTCCTCATGTCACCTGGTGAACCTGGTGAGGTTTGGCCGGTTTCTGAGACGCCGTCCAGCCTTTCCTGTGGTCTCAGTGCAAAGAGCGCAGCTGCTTCGTATGGCGCTGATCTCGTCAGTGGTGACACTTTCTTGGACCCTAATTTCACACATGCTTTTCTTCTGGTCAAACTGCAACACACAAACCTGGCTGAAAGCAGCCAGCAACACTGCTGCCCCAGCTTGGGCACTGCACTGCCTTGGAATTCCCTCTGCCAGACCGAGCCTGTTGCCTTTAAGCTCACCCTGACACAGTTTTAGGGCAGAACAATCTGTGGCAAATGCTTTGTCGGCACGTAACGCACATGACCTCTTGCTCACTTTCCATTTGGAACCTCAAGCACAAAACCGTTTCCATCTGCTCTGTTAGCCTGCCAGTCATCTGAACTCCCACCAGAGTCGTCCATCAGAGCCTGCTTATAGCCTTCGAGGTCTTCTCCAGTGCCTTTCTCCAAACTGTCCCAAGCTCTTCCTATAAGCCAGTTCCAAAGGCTTCTGAACTCCACGATTCACAGCAATGACCCCACTCCTGGCACAAACTTTTCTGTTTGTCAGCCTTTTCATTTCTTGAACCAAATACCTGACGCTCACAATCTGACACACTTTCAGAGAGCTTAGTCCACAGTGAGCCGACTCTAGGGCAGACACACCGTGATGGAAGACAACTGCTTGCCTCATGGCAGCCAGGAAAGAGTGAGGGAAAGAGCCAGAGGCGGGAAGGGCTGAGAGCAGGACGCTCCCTTCGAAGGCCTCGGTGATGCACGTCATCCGACCGGGCCGCCTCACACTGCCTGTGCAGCTGTGAACTTACTGGTGGTTTCATCCACCCATGAGCACAGCACCCTCACGATCCAAGAGTCGTCCAGGAGCCCTGGCCCTGAACTTAAGGGCTTTGGGGGGGGGGCATTTTTGATTGAAGCACATCAGGCTTCTAAGTAGCTCCAGTGTGGCTGCTGCCTCCCTCTCCACCCTGTGCCACTCTTTTAAAGCCAACATCATGACCCAATGTGAGGAAAGTCAAGGGGCAGCCCTGACCAGTATAGCACAAAGCAGAACAGAGGCTGGAGCCAGGCGCCTGGTCCTTGGCTCCAGATGGGGAATGGTGTGTATCTAGGACCACGCTGGGGAGGATGATGTCATAGCCGTGGTCCTGGAAAGCATAGACACAGGATGGTCCCTTGCTCCACCCACACATGTCCAGGGTCAGCTGGTTTTAAGATGGGATCGCATGCACACTCCTTGTGGTTTGAGAGCCTGAGCTTTAGGCAGGGGTATGCGTCAGTAGCAGGGCACCACCGCAGCAAAGTGGGGTGAAAGTTAACACTTGAGCTTCAGGGGTTGAGAATCTGGAGGATGATCCAAGCAAACATTTGCTCTGCTCCTAGTAGGCAGAACCACACATGGGGATCCCAGGGCTCCAGGGTGTCATCCTGGGCTGGCCTGCTGGGGTGGGCAGGGATCTCTGCATCCTGGTCACTATATCTGGGCACCTGGATGCTGGCTCAGTGCTGTCCTGGACCCACCACCTGTGTGTTCCCAGATGCTCCCAGGGCAGCCACCACCACAGATGAGGAGCAAACGCTCGTAGGCACAGTGCCCTGAACCCGCAGATCTTTGGGGACTGCTTTTCACAGCAACACATGGAATGATCTCAAAGATCAGATCCAGAATAACGTGTGTATGTGGGTGTGTCTATCATCTATTACCTATTTATCTACCACCTATTTATCTATTGTAGCTATCATATCTATCCTCTTTATCATCTAAGTATGTATCCATCTCAGCCTATACATCCTTCCATACTATCTCTACCTACCTATCATATCTATTTCCTGTCATCTATCTATCATCTATCTATGACTTACCTACCTATTATATTTGTCGTCTATCCTAATTTATCTGTCCGCTACCTATCCATCTGATGTGGCCTATCACCTACTCATTGTATCTATTTAATCTCTCCTATCCTCTGTTTACGTATGCATCTACCTGTCATCATCTATCTAACTAATATGACGATATCCGTGGTACCCAGCCATCCATCTAATCTATCCCACCTGTCTAACCAATCTATCCTGTTGTTCACCTATCCATGGTATCTATCCTATCTACCTATCATTTATCCACGGTATTTCTTACTTATTTATCCAGCCAATATACTGTGTCAGTTTATCCTGTCTGTTATCTGTGGTCTCTATCCCCAGTACAAATTGCTTTCTCTCGGTTCTTTTCTGTCTGTCTGTCTGTCTGTCTGTCTGTCTACGCACCTACCGCCCGCCTGTCTGTCTCTACACCCACCAGCATTGCTTCCTCTCTGCACTATTTCTGATATCCAGCAGGGCTTTGCTAGCTGTCGCTTTAGTCTCTAGCTTGCCTCAGGTGACCAACGGGGTCAGTAATGCCCAGCTTTAGCTCTGGTTCCAGAAAAAATTTCAGGTCCAAAATGCCAAACTGGCATCTCGACAGGTGGAGGAGGCTTCCTCGTGCTGCACGAACAGCTCGCCCGCCCTCGCCCACAACCCACCGGGCTTGCACGCACACCCTCAAGCAGGTCACACGCTGGTGACGAGAGAGATGCAGGAACTGCAAGCGTGATGAGCAAGTGGCCGCGTTCAGAGAC